TATATTAATTTAAAGTACACATAAGGCCCACAAATACTATATAGTTAAGAAAATTTTGAAGAATTACTAATTAGGGTTAAATAAATAAATATATATATATATATAGCTAAAAAATATATAATGAATCCATTTATCAATAATTTAGGTTCATCGAATAAAATGACACAAAAATGAAAAATTGTATCTCTAACTGACAGCATATTTAATTTTTTTTGGTTTGCATTTAAATGATTTGTTAATACTTTAGAAGGGAGGAGCAAGATTTGTATTAATTTACTATTGTTAGAAAATAATAATAAAAATTAATTTTACGAAATTCTATAGAATAATCGTAAGGTTGCTACGTCGACGGAAACAGACGGCGCAGCGTCTGTTTCCGTGGATGTGTCGGCTAATGCTCGAAATATTCGGATGCTATCGTGGTGGATCCCAAGCGGCGATGAATTATGTGTGCCACGTGCGTGTTCTCATACCTTTATTACCGCAGCATCGCGCGAGATAACGCACCGTGTGCAACGCACAAAGGGCGATCGCGCAGCGTGACTCGTCTCGCGTTCCGCTAAATTTGCCGCCTCGCGAACGAAAGAAAAAAAAAGAAATTATTCGAAAATGCATATATCTGTACGTAATGAGAAAATCGCCAACAGGCACGAAACATGATAGTCCATAATGGCAATAGGTCGACAAAGCTGCCCGAACTAATGACAATTATCAATAGATAGCGGAAAGAGAACGATGTTTTTCCATTCAATTAACCCGTGCCGCGGGTTTTTCAGCTATAAAGCAGTAAATAATGCGACCTGTTTCCGGTAACAGATGCGAACGAGCCGTCTGTCGCGTTAAATGGCTCGTCTGAGCTAGTAGTCTATGAATACTAAAGAGATTAGAACATCAGTTGCTGCTGCTATTAATAATTCCGTCGTAAGTGACCGGCTTTTAATTGTCATTTTAGCTTTTGGCTGTTTTAAATATAAACATTCGAGACAACTCGTAATAACGTGATCGGATACAAAATTGTTTTCTTATTATATTTAATAAAAAGTATTATTATATTTAATTAATAAAAGTATTAATAAATTAAATTGATGAAAGTATTTATTATATAAATGGAATGAAATTTTCTTTTCTTTTCGATCGCTCGATCCAACAAATGATTCTTGAAGTAACAGATTTACGTAACGATCGGGGCAATTTCGTCGAGATGGAATCCCGACAGTCGGGACGATTTATATTTTCCGTGCCATTTGACAAAGAAACCGTGAAATACGTACTCCACGGCCACCGCTTCTCTACCGGCTGCCGAAGCTCAACGAACGGGTCCCGGATTACTTGAGGATTACGCGGGGATGTTCATTCGAGCTGATTTACAAGGTCGACTCGGCGTGCCGTCTGCATAAACCGGAGTGGTCGTCCCAGAAGATACGTCACGATCCTCGATAGAAATGTTACACAATGAAAACAGGAGAGTCTATAGTTGCAATGGCAACTAAAGATGCTTTTATATCTATTGTACTGCAATACTAAGCGAAATATTTTGGCATACCGTATCGATTGATCGAACTTATTTTTCTATTTATGACAAAAACGATGAACTAGTAACAATACATAAACTTCGTAATTCTAATTTTTCGGAGGTAAATAATATTATTGCATTAATAAATTTGTTTAGGTGAATTTATTGATAAAAAGTCTGGCAATACCTATCAAATATAGATATTTTATTTAGCTTATTGGTGCAATGTTTAATAAATATTACCACATGGAAAGAAACCACGGTTTTGCTGAAGTATCTGAAAACTTAACTAAATCAGGATCTGAAAATAACTTTGTTGAACCATCGAAATAATTATGTAGGGCACAGTTCTACACTTCAGTGCGTAATTTCGATTTGGGGATTTCATTTGATTTTTTTCGTAGTTTCTCCAGTAACTTCCGATTGAACAATAATTTCTCAAGAGTGCCATTTTCCGAACAAGGCCGCGAGAACATCGGTGTACAAATAATTCAGATGATAAACGAATTAACTCGAAATGGGATGATGAAAGGCACATTTAGGGCGGCAGGAGCCCTCGAGTTCTGCCTTAATGCGAGGGCTGATGTAGCAGAACGTTTGACCCCTCGCCTCACCAACGCAAGATGGGCGAACGAAACAAGAAGAGCGAGACAGAGAGAGATCGCGAGTACGACACACGTGCTCGGCTCATGAATCAAGTCGTATTAGCGAAAGAGAAGTAGGGACCGCCGGGTACCAATCTACCACTCCAACTTGAAGTAGATTAGATTCTCGAGCTTTATTCGATTATCCAACGAATGAGAAGCAACGAATTGAACATGGCGCGATTCTGTAGCATAACCCGTCGTTTTACTCTGCAGCTTTGGCAATCGGAGCATAAACAACAAGCTGGACAGTGATGGATGGCGTAATGAAGTAAATGGAATAAAAAGCTCAAAAGAATACTATCATTTTCCCCAGTATTTGAAAATAAAGAATTGGATTCCCGATTATTAGGATATTAATGATTACAGCATTATGAAAAATACTAAAAAAACAATGTCATAGACTTCATAAGCCATGCCGCCATATTTAATATCAAATAAAAATCATATTGTTCCCTTACTTCAAAAATGATACATCTAAAAAAATTAATAACTTTTCAGAAAAAGGAAAAAAATTATTTTTTTACCTAACAAAAAACTATTGACTAATCAAATATTGATAAAAAGATATACTCTTAGAAACATGATCAAATGTCACTTTATAATTTTTATTTTGCAACTCTTAAAAAACTGTCTTTTTTAAAGTATGATTTTAATATCCTACAAAATTATAACAAGTCCGGAAATTCATTAAAATTAATTCATTAAAAGTAACATAACTCGAAACATCACTAATAGTTTATATTTGTATCGATCAATTAAAATGACTAAATTCAAAATAAAATAATTTTTTTCTAACTTGATCACCAAAATTATTTTAACGCTAAAAATGTTCTTTAAGTTTATAGTCCGTCGGTCAAACAGCATAGCGTTGTGTGTTCTTTAAAAAAAAGGTCTCCAAAAAGATTATAATATCCTCTATAATAGATTTTGAGTTGTATCATTTTTATAAATAAAAAAAAGAAGATTCTCTTCTTTGATATAAATTTTTGATGATTGAGTAATCTGTACCTAACTCATTAACATTCACAAATAATAATAACTCAAAGGTCACATTTTGTTTAGTTGTGTCACTTTTGAAGTAAGTAAGAAATATACAAGATGTTAAACTTCAACGTATTATCAAATACATAATACATTATGGACTCTTTAATATTTTTGTTTAAATATTATCAATATTATCTTTTATTTATTTAGATTCAACCGCGTATATTTTTATTACACACTGTATATATCCCAGGGTAAGTATGGTTTTCATATTTTACTGTAAATTCGCTAGGCATTAACGGTTAAGTATAATGTATAGAAGTCTGAAGTCAAACAGTAAGAGATATCTCAAATTTTCTTAATAATATTTAAAGTCAATAGAAATATATCTACAACAAAATATTACGTATGTAATGACAATTATGTTTACTTTCTATTTTATTGCAAAGGATTGAACCAATCAAGTGGGCGAAGAACGATGATCAAAGATATATACGAGTACATGGAGGTCTTTAATCGGCACAATCTTGTGATATATCCGCCTGGTCGATCAGTATTCTTTGGTGGATATTTGTATAGTATGAGTTTTTACGATTGTATTATAAAAGGGAGGCTCCAGTATCTCGTGTTTGTAAGCTATTTTTCGTCGCGCACACCTGCCTCTACGGTGTGTGTATCTGCGCGCGTACCATCAAGATTGAAGCTCCATATTTGCGTTCGGCAATGTTCAGGAAGCGTTGTCGCCTTTTATGCCAGCAGCAAACGATCCTTTCAACAAAACGTTATCGTATCTATTCATTTGGTTATGTTTGAAATTATCGTGCTATGGAATCTCGCGAACTAGCTATCCATTTGCTTGAATATCAGCTACCGATATATATGAATATATAGAATTAACATAAAGGCGACTTAAATATAATAAATAAACTTTATAAAATATTTGATGAAATTTTAGTTTGTGTCATTGCTTAATAAGATTATTTCAATTGATAAAAAAGTTTTAAACAAAGTTTGCACAATTCAGTTTTAAATAATCATACTATTCTAAAATTTCATCATCTTTATCTTCATTATCATTATCAAATTTCAAGCATTGCCTTTTGTGATGATACATAATACTTCTCTCTCTCTCTCTCTCTCTCTCTCTCTCTCTCTCTCTCTCTCTCTCTCTCTCTATAATCAATTTATTAAACAAAGGTTCCTCAAAATTTTCTGTGAGAATCAAGTTGTGGCTGGACAAAAATATCAAGTGTCAAGTTATGTATCATAATATCTTATATCATAATATTCTATGTTTTAATTTATTTAAATATTTCCATAAGAATTTTTTAAAATTTTCCATGAAAATCAAACTATGACTAAAAAGAAATCAAATTTCGAGTATTATATTTGAATGACGATATGTAATATTTCTATTTTAATTTATTGAAAAACCCTGATAAAAATTCTTCGAAATTTTCCATAAAAATTAGAATAGATATAGTTAAATAAAAATTCACGTTTCAAGCCTTGTGTCTTATTATTAGCTAATATACAATATATTATATATTTCTGTCAATATATGTTTTATAGTTTATTAATAATTTCTACAAAAATTCTTCGACATTTTTTACAAAAGGTACTGTTAGATAGAAATATCGCCGAAAGTAACTCGAAGTATCATTCGTAATGGAATGTCAGAGAGTTCCTTAAATCGCATAGCTTATCGCTACGCATCAATAGCGATGGTACCACAAGCAGGAGGAATAGTGGAGGAGGAACGACAGGAGGCGTGGTAACAACGCGCACGCTCCACGTGACCCTGTCGTTTGGAAGGCGGGACTTCAGGAACGGGCACACAACTACAACAAGCAGTAGAACCAGCCGGTGGTCAGCGACGTTTTCTCTGTCGTCGCGCGCGCGGGACACCTCGAGCTGCGCTCGTTGCACGTACACCTGCCGCGCGATTAGGCACGCACGGTTCGTCATCCGTAACCCGTTCCGGGCGACCTTTTTTTGAGACTGCAAATTTTGAGCAGTGCCTTTCCCCCAACCTGAAAATCGGGACGACATCGACATAGCGTGATCGCCCGGGTGCCGTCGGAATCATGCACGAGAAAACGATTGACGATAACAATAACGACACCAATGACATGATTAGTGAGTGAATATACGCATGAGAGAATGAGACTCGTTCATTCGAAACGAGTGAACATCCTCAGGATCATCGAACGCGGACTGTCTCGTCATGATGTTGGTTCCACAAGATATTATGGGTGGTCCATCGAAGATGCTGTACCAGATGAACAAGTACTACGCCGAACGGGTACAGGCTCGCATGGGCCAGGTGCAAAAAACCATACGGGAGGTGTGCAAGGTCGTACAAGATGTACTCAAGGAGGTCGAAGTGCAGGAGCCACGCTTCATCTCTTCATTGACCGAGTGTAACGGCCGCTATGAGGGTCTCGAGGTGATCTCGCCGGGTGAATTCGAGGTGGTCCTCTACCTGAACCAGATGGGAGTTTTCAACTTTGTTGACGACGGCACCCTGCCGGGCTGCGCAGTGTTGAAGCTCAGCGACGGACGTAAAAGGTCCATGTCCCTCTGGGTTGAATTTATCACCGCGTCTGGCTATCTGTCGGCCAGAAAAATACGCTCGAGGTTTCAGACTCTGGTAGCACAGGCCTGTGATAAGTGTAACTATAGGGACTCGGTAAAGATGATCGCCGACACCACCGAAGTGAAGCTACGGATACGGGAGCGATACGTCGTACAGATCACGCCGGCATTCAAATGCTCCGGCGTGTGGCCGCGATCTGCCGCTCATTGGCCGATACCACACATACCTTGGCCACATCCCAATCTAGTGGCGGAAGTCAAGACAGAAGGCTTCGATCTATTGTCGAAGGAAAGCGTCGCACTTCAAGGCAAGCAATCGGCAATGGAGGGCGACGCCTGGGTCTTGTCCTTTACGGAAGCGGAAACCAGGCTGCTGCAGGGCGGTTGTCGCCGAAAGTGTCTCAGTATACTCAAAACCCTGAGGGATCGACATCTTGATCTGCCTGGGAATCCCGTCACCAGCTACCACATGAAGACGCTGCTGCTACACGAGTGTGAGAAACATCCCCTCGAGGCCGAATGGGACGAGAGTTGCTTGGCCGATCGTATTAACGGCATCTTCCTGCAGTTGATATCTTGTCTACAGTGTCGGCGGTGTCCGCACTATTTCCTGCCAAATCTCGATCTATTCAAAGGAAAGTCACCTAGCGGCCTGGAAAACGCTGCGAAGCAAGTTTGGAGACTTACGAGGGAGTTGCTCACGAATAGCCGCGCACTGGAGAAGCTTTAGCGTCCTTCTGCTCGAGAAAACGCGGGACGATGAGAACAGAGAAACAACGACACGTGTGACACGATTTTGAGAACGTTTCTACCACATGGTATTACGTGCTTCTCCGATACTACACGCGAACAGTATTGTAGTTACTGTTATTACTTAATACACGCTTGTATGAAGGGCTTGATGCATTGTTACAAATGATTCTCGGCACGTAAGCCGTTTAAAGCCTGTTCTACAATAAGATCGCAAGTCGTAAGCTGTAAAAAATTGGCCAATCATAGTCGAATATGATAAAAACAATCGACTATGATTGATTAATTTTTATGGTTTGTGCTATTGTAGAACAAACTTTAAACTGTACTCGTTTTCCTTCAATAACAATTGCAATTTAACAAGCAATAATGATTATAGATAACTCAGGTTTTAATTTTCTTTTTAATATTTAATTAAGCAGTCGCATGGAAATGAAACGGTTATGTAATTATAAATCCATCCATAGTTCTTTTATACGCGAAGCTATTATGTTTGACTTGTTTTAAAATTGATTATATTTATGCAAGTGTGTGTGTTGTGTCGTAAAAATTTCGTCTATTAAATAAAATAGACTCAAATATATTTATATGTTTTAGTGAACTAAACGATTTATTTATTTATTGATTGTTTAAAAAAAGAAACTATATATATAAATCAATTGTCGAATGATATCTTCACGAATACATAGAAACAATTCTATAATTAGCGATATAACGTTTACACGAATTATAGAAATTTAAAGGAAAAAAGAGCGAAAAGTATACGATCAACTAACTACCTAAACATAGGTATATGTACCGCAAGATATAATTTAATGATTCTTCTAATTGTCGTATTTTAATTTATACATTTTCTCGCTATAATCATTATATTAATGTTTCACTTTGAATGACGTAAATTGCTGTAAAATAAGCAATGTCACAGCAATTAAGCTTATAATATCCATGCGACTAGTTAAGTGCTAAGTACGGCATTCTCGATAGTTAATGTGAAATGTTATACAATAGACACGTTGTGTAATTGATTCTGTTGAAACATGTATAATGTAGAATATTTCGTATAATTGTTTCGTGCAATAATAACTACTCCATCTCAATTAAAACAACGAAATACCAGAATTATAATAGCAATAAGATAAAAAAGTAAATTCCGAAGACATAATGTTTTCTGAAAGTTCAATGATATTCCGTATGAAACTGTATTAGCAAATAAATTTTCACACTTTAAGTCTTAATAAAACAGGATTATTTTCATATTCTAGATTATTTTAAAAGCATATAAACATATAAAATGCGTAAAATGTTTCAATTAAATATTTTTATAATTATTTCTTCGTCCAAGCAAAATGTGATTTGTTATTCTTATTGATTGATATTTATAATCGGTTAGCAGTAAGCTTCCGACGGTAGTTTCATTATATTATATATTCATTATAACTTCTTGTTATATGTATATATGTGGTATACATACTTCTTTTATATTATTTAAATAATTTAAATAATATTTATTTTATAATCGTATTATATGTATTATATATTTGAAACACGTGAAATGTACATAATGAATAAACGCATTAATTTTTCTTCCACTAAATATTTATTTACTTTGGAAA